TACATAGAATTGAAAAGTCCAGGAAAAAAAATCCTTCATTTCAACAGCATGAAAGATCTAGTCTTGAACGAAATATTAAACCCTGAAGAAGATCCAACAAAGTGGTGGTAGTGATTACTCCATGGAAAGCGAACATTTTGGTAGATGAATGTAAAGAACGAAAATTTTTTATTCTTCATTACACATTCTTTCGAAACCACTATATATGGCTTTGTCCCAAGGATTATGGGAAATGTCTCTTAGAAAACTTAGAAGAGATCAGATGTAATATTCTTTGTTCCAAAGTTCAAGTTCAAGTTTATTGATTTTCTTCTTCGTAGTGTTTTTTAAGGTTGGAGTAGTCATCTTTAAGTTTTTTTGAACTGTTTTTTAACTCTTTTGTAGTTTTTTTTGTTACTCCTCGTCATGATTGAAGAGCATTAATGGGGGATAGCGGATGTTTTCACCTTTCTTTACCCACTTTGTCCACAATCTTTTGAAGGGATTTATCTTTGATACAGGCAGACTTTTTGTAGGTTGAATCGTATGATATTTTTCAATAACAGTGTGATGATACCACGGTTGATTTATCCAATGTTTTACGGTTTCTTCGTTGGGTTCAGCTGTTTGGTCGAAATTTATCCTGAACGTAGAGGTGTCTTTTTGTCCAGGGATGATGAGAAAATAGGTGTGTTTTTCTTCAATGTCTTTATCGTAGGATTTACAGTAGTAAATTTGAAGATCAATGTCCATGCTGTTGTTGTTGTTGTGATTTAGATTCGGGGAGTGAAGATGCATTTATAGCCGTAGGGAAATGATTGAAAGGTGTCATGATCGATGACTCGTTTATCAAAAACGAGTTTGTATTTTTTATCTTGCGATACTGTTTTGATGGTTTTGGTGGCTGCACATCTCGTGATTTTGTGCGGGTTGTGGAGTGTTAATGTGCGTTGGTCATCTTCTGGTTGTAGTATTTCACTCAATACCAAGTTTTTCATGTTAATGAAATTAATGATTTTTTTGTCCTCGTTCGTTGAGCGTGAATCCTCTGACTTTGCAGCATTGTTTTCCTTTGAAAGTGTTGTAGGCATAATTTTTAGGTCCTGGAGCTACAAATTCTGTAATGTGATCTCCATCGTCGAGTTCATTGGTGAATTCGCCGAGATAATTGCCAGTGGGTATTGAAGATTCTGTGGGTTTTTGGGTATAGATGACAGAATCTGTGTCCATGTACAATACTCTTTCTTTCAAGATGTCTAGAGCATCGTATAGTTTCAGTCGCGCATAACTCGTCGTAAAGCAGGCAATAAAGATGTTGACATTGGATTGAACTGGGTCGCATACTTCTTAAAATGAGTGAAACACTTCTATCATGTGTTCATGAGCAATTTTGAAGAAATAGAAGTAGAGTCAATTTGGCTCAAGATTCGGCCGCACCGTCTCCCCAGGTGCACTTCATCACTATTGGTTGCTGCTCTATACCTCGCTCCAAGCAGTTCTGCTGAACAGGTTTCTAAGCTAATAGCTCATCTAAAAAAGAACACTGAAAATTATTTACGAAGACACCCTGAGGGAATGTTGATTATAACTGGTGATTTTAACCCAACGTCTACACGAATTAAATCATCAGACAACAGGCAACAGGATTGCGGAAAATTGTAACTGTGCCTACTCGGAATGATTCTAGTTTGGACTGGTGTTTTACCAACAAGCCTAATCTGCTATCGAAACCAGTTCAGTTACCCAAGATTGGATGTGGTGGTCACAACGCTCTACTGATTAAACCATTAAATAGTAATCAATTCTCAAATTTGAGGACTAAATCCCAAATGTTGCGGGATACCAGGGCCAGTCGTCTAAGGGCTTTTGGGCAATGGATAACAACTTATGATTGGACAGCAATCTTAAACATCTCTGCTGTGCAATCAAAGTTTGACCTTCTACACAGTTGCCTGATGAAGGCGGTAAACACATTTTTTCCTGTCAAGAAAGTTAAAATCTCTGCATCTGATAAACCATGGATTACCTCTGCCGTGAAATCTTTGATTGCACAGCGCCAAAAAGCTCTTGTTAAATAGGGGAAGTCTTCTGACAACTACAAGCGGCTTTGGAATAGAGTCCAGGAAGAGTGTTCTAAATGTAAGAAACGTTTTTATGGGAACAAAGTATCTGGTCTACAAGACTCAAATATTTCTCGATGGTGGAAGTACATCAAAGATTTGGGTGGCCTTTCGGTCTCTGGTGATTGGTCATCTCAGCTGATTGGGAGTGACATACCTGATGAAGCTACACTAGCATTAAAGTTTAACGAGTTTCTTGGTAGCCTAACGGCACACTTTCGTCCATTAGAGCCTCTTTTACCGGTATTTGGGCCGGTGAATATGCACCTGTATGTCTCAGAGTGTACAGTTTACAAGACCCTACGAGCATTAAAGGTAAAGAAATCATCAGGTCCTGAGCAGATCCCGAATATTGTTTGGAAAGAGTTTGCTTTTGAACTTTCTCCTGTGCTTGCTGATTTATACAACTCCTCACTTGAACAGGGTTATGTTCCAGCACAACTGAAACACGCTGTTGTGGTCCCTGTCCCGAAGTGCCACCCCCCAAGATCTGTTGAAAGTGACTTAAGGCCAGTGTCATTAACTTCACCAAAAGGCAAAGTACTGGAAGGCTTCACAGCTAAGTCCCTGCTCACCTGTGTCTGAAGCAAGTTGGACAGTAAACAGTTTACTCTCCCAGAAAGATCTACCACGCAGGCATTGGTATATTTACTTCACACAATTTTGGAGACGATTGACCGTGGTGAGATGTATGTCAGGTTGTTTTTTTCTGACTTCTCTAAGGGATTTGATCTTGTGGATCATAATGCTCTACTGCATGAACTGGATAACCTGGATGTGGACCCACATTTGATGAGGTGGATTGCTGCCTTCCTCACAAATAGGAAACAGTGGGTGAGGATGGGAACGGTGCTGTCCCCAACAATACAGCTGAATGGTGGAATTCCTAAATTGGCCCATATCTTGTTTTGTATTCTTGTGAACAGTATGGCATTTAATTGTAAAAATAGAGTTAAATATGTAGATGGAGTTTGTCCCTAGGTTTTCTCCTTCATACTTGAATTTTACTGTGTCCGAAATTTACTCGTTTACTTCCTCTAGGGGAATGGTTCTCAACAGCAAGAAGTGCAAAGAAGTGTGCGTTACGTTTTTACAGTATTGCCCGTTTTCGCCACACCCTTTAGCTGTTGGTAATTCTAAAATAGAAAAGGTTTCCTGTTACAAGTTGTTGGGGGTACACTTATCAGATAACTTAACGTGGAACGAGCATGTATTTCATATTGTAAAGAAAGGAAACAGGAGGTTATATGCAATACGTGCTCTTAAGAAGTGTGGTTTAACGGATGGGCAGCTTATCTTGGTCTACTGTAGCATCATCAGATCTGTCTTGGAGTATGCAAGTCCTGTATGGGCTGGCCTCACGCAGTACTTGAATGATCAAATTGAGTCGGTTCAAAAGAGGGCTCTAAAAATCATTTTCCCGTTTATGAGTTATGAGGACACGCTTAAGAAGTCAGGCTTAATTAATCTATGCCAGAGGAGGGAAGATGCGTGCGTCACTTTTCTTAGGCGGAGTTACTACTCTTCTGACCTACTACAAAATTTAGTACCGCGATGTCAATTTTCAAGACCATATGCCCTTAGGGCAGGAAGAACTGTGTCTGTACCTACCTCCTCAAGATCTATTAGATTTGGAAATTTTTGTACTATTAAATATCAGAATCATGTGTAATATACTTAACTGCAATTTATCTTATTACTTATAGTATTTAATGTTTACACAATATTTAATATTTATATTTAATTGATATCTAAAATAGTTCTATGTATGCATAATGTAGAAGTATTTGTAAATTATGACCCGACTTGTAATTCAGTTTCTACCGCAAGAAGGCTGAATAAATGATCATCATCAATTTCAATTCTGTGAACGACTTGTCTATCGTCTGTTATTATTTGAAAGAATTCGCTTGGTTTGGTGCATGTGGTTACTTGGGTTTGGTTGTGGTGTTGCCCGAACTTTCCCCAGAAAGAATTGAGCATTAATTTAGTTAGGGAACGAAGACCTGGGTTTTTTTCGATTTGATTAGGGTCTAGTTCAATGCCTTCATGCTCTTGAAAGTCATGCAGATAGTTCTTTTTTTTTCTCATCGGTATCACTTTCTGCGGGCCATCCTGAAGCTTCTTGCTTGATTTTCATGAATGTTTTTATGTATGGTTGAAACAGCTGGTTTGATCGTTCTTTAAAGTGCCATATTTCGTAGATGTAAGCGATGACGTAGCCTTTTTCAATGGCTTTTTGAAGTTCGAAGGTGGTCCAGGTACCTGTGAGGGATCGTTCCTCAGCGGAATGGGGGCACTTTTCGCTTCTTTTGTTGGTTGTGGGCTGTTGTTTTATCTGTTGCTGCGCGCATGTTCTGCATAGTGGAAACAGGAGTTTGGAGTCGTATCTGTATGGTAATACAGGATGATATAGTTCGTAGGGGGGTAAAATTTTACATTTTACCAATCCGTAATATTTGGAGATATCTATGGTCCCGGGTTGATCGATGAATAAAGGGTGACCAATAGGGTACTCACATTCTGGGTTTGCGCATGGGTACAACGAAATCATATCGCTGTATTTGATTTGTTTGTTTTCTTCAACTTTATGGTGAAGTTTGATTGCGTTGGTTCTACCACCAAAAAAGGCTTCGCGAGGGTTGAGAGGTGTGACAATGTCGACTGTATCGATAAGTTTTTTCAGTTGAGGATCTGTTCGTATCATGCGATTCCAATCGCATTCCCACATCTCTTTTACATGGTATCCCAATACGGTCAACTGCTCGATTTTTGTTCTAGTTTCTTCTCGCACATCTCGCATGGTTTATTTTGGTGAATGGGATGTCTCATGGTGCGATTTGGAAAACACTTGAGACACCCATGGTAGAAACACCCTTGAAATTCATAGACGGTACGTGTTTATTCGTCGTATCCATCTACGACAAATCTTTGAGATCCATGCATCAGTGTTCTTTCACCTTTGTTTCGGGGCAGGAGATTGGTTTTGATCAGTTTTTTTTCTTCCCAGTAGAGCCATGTTAGGGCAGCACAAGATTGGATGTGATGGGAAAGCCATCCACGTACCGGTCGTACGGCGATTTTGTTTTCAGGCATCCATTTTTTGCTGTATGCCACATTGCAGGCAGAAGTGATAGTGATACAATGTTCCATAGGGTTGAAGTCGACAATATCTTTGAATTGGGATTGAAAGGTCATGCACCCTTGTTTGAGGAGTCTTACATCTGATTGACAATAGGTTAAGAGTTCATGTTGGAAATTGAAAATGTATCTTTCAGATACTTTTTCGTCATACCACTTGTGGAATTCATCTTTGCGCGCTGTGGACATTCCGTCGGGGTCGTAGTAAGATTTGTCAGGCATGTACCCAACATAGTTTTGATTTTGCTGCGTGTTGAAGAAATGGGGAAAAGACCCTTTCTTTAGTTCGTGAATTCCAAATGTTTTTGGAAAGTTCGACAAAGCCACGGGAAAAAAGTTCATGGAGTCGATGAATTTTATATGGGGCAAGTCTAAACTGAGTATCTTGGCTCCATTGACGATTTGCGTGAGATTGGTGACGTGTTGCTTGTAGAGTTCTTCGAGCATGAAGTACCCGTCATAACCTTTTAAGTTGTGCGCCACTACGATCACCTTTTCAACGTCTTGATTGGCTATGGTGTGAACCCAATATATAAATTGTTGTTGCAATCTTTACCTTGGAAGGTAAATTGTGTATCGTTTTGATCGGTTTCTGCGCACACCAGATTAGCGATGTGATTTCCGGTATCTTGTTGCGCTTCAATGTCAAAATAAACGAACACGATGTGTTGTTCTTTTTCATTTTTTCTTTTCTTTTTCTTTTCATGTGTGATGGGTTGAAGGAAGCACCTCTGTTGTAGAATGTTGACTTCTTCCGCAATGTTTCATGTGTTCTTGAGCTGTTGATGTGAACACATGTAAGCAAATAGAACATTTTTTGTGTGATTTGCATACATATTTTTCAAGGGGTGCTACCAGTTGTCCATTGGCTTTGAGAGTGAGGTGGTTCATTTGACACGTGACTCCATAGAAATGACGATTACAGTTTTTGCATGGTAGTTCTGGTTTTTCAGTTTGTTTGAATAGTTCGTAGTCACGGCAATTGGATTGAAGACAGGGGTCACGTTTAGTTTTGCGACATGTATGGTGACTATAGTCTTCTACAGCGTAGGCTTTTTCGCATTGAAGACAAAACTAGACAGAATCAAAAAATCCAGGGAGTTTGGTGAGGACATCAAAATGACGATCATGCATGAGTAACACGATTTGTTTGTTACTTTGGGGTCTTTTATGAACAATGGCGTGTCCATGTTCGGCGGAGACAACAACGAATTGATATTCGTTCAAGATGATCTCAAACAGCTTGATTTGTTCTAGTCCTCAGGGTCTAATAGGTACGCGCGCTTCTTCATGTAGGGTTTGCACCAATTTTTTTTGTAATGGGCAATGAGAGTCTTTCACCAGTTTTAATTGTGGATCCTCATCCGCTATGGCTTTAGCCACTACAATGGCTCGTGCACAGCAAAGTTCGTCATTGTTCATTATTCGTATCACATATCATTTGGAATGAAGAAATCTTCCGTAATTATCTGTTCCAAAACAATGTTGTTTGCGTGTTCCTTTGGGGAGACCGCTTCCGGGTGGTGGCATAGTGATGTGTGTGACATCGAGTTGCAATGTATCATCCAAATCAAAGTTTTCGTTTGAATTGAGTAGATTTGAAATATTTTGAAGCACTTGTCTGGATGCACCCAATGGGTCACGCCGTTGTTCGATGGAAACATTTGCTGAAGTATGAGAATTTCTGAGTCTGTTACTCCCAAGATAGATTTGAATACGATCATGATTTGGTAATCCAACGATTAAATCTTGAATACTTCTAACAAGTCCTTCTTCAAAAGCTCTTATAATATTCCCATGTCCAACAGGAAAGGTATCCTGTGGGTTTTGCACTTTTAAATGATATGAAGTGCGTTTGATACCATAACTCTTGGCGTTTTTTTCTCTGAATTGGGTTCGTTTGAAATTGAAGCATCCTTCACGATTTGAAACACTACCACCGCCACTTTACCCTGTCCGTTCAAGATCTTATACAGCTCTTAACAATTCTTCATCAGAAATATCTTTTTCTTCTTCTTGTTTATCCATGTTTGGGAAAAAACTGATGAATTCCGCTAGCAGATGTTACGTATTTATAGCGTCAACTTATCACGTGTGGTATGACGTCAATTTACCTTAATTGGTAACAAGGTATAGGGGTACCCCCCATCCCCCTGTCATGTGATACCACATGGAAGCGCTATGGGGTGTACTATAGGAGGTGAATCATTTTTTGGTACCATTCAAAAAACAATGTCTCTTACAATTTGGCTTTGTTGCTTTATTCTTGTGTTTATTCTATTGTTATATTTGAATTCTGTCTGCATTGAGCAAGAAAGGTGTTGCTGTTACTACTGTATAGTTGAAGAATGTTGGCCTGGAGAAGTGTGTTAAACGAGAGCCCCTGCAAACATCTTACTCCCTTCAAAGACAATGGACAAAATCGTGGCGCAGTGCGTGCTGAGGGGAGTGACTTTAACATGGACGAAGTAGCGGCGTACAACTCTGAGTTTGACGAAATGTCTACGCAAGCTACAAGCTGATGAAGAAAATTGGACCCGTTGGCCAGATCTGATAGAACATTATCATATGGTACAGGCCAAGAGTTTTTTCAACATCGTTGAGAGGATGGAAGAAAATCTTGACCCAGAACCGCCCGTGGGATTTGGCATTTACAAGACATTTTCGAACATTGATTTCTGCAAGTTTGAAGAATTTTATTCAAGAACTGAGTGGGACAATTTACTTTTTAAGTTGAACAAGATTCACTCTTATTATTTAAAGAATAAGGATGTCATTTCAAAGTTAAAGTTTAGTAAACATTATGTATATCCGTTTCAAACACGTTCACATTTTGATTAATAAAAGACGTTGAAAAAAAGAAAAGAAAGAAATGTATTTACAGTTGAAAAATATTTACAGTTAAATAAAAAAAAGTTTTAAAACCTGCCATATTCTTTGAATAGTTTTTGCAGTTGTTCATTTTTCTTGGTAAATCCTACATCTGCCCATTGAAAGAATCGACATCCACCCTTATTGCGGCAAGCAAAAAGAGGTCTTCCTGGGTTTTGAGGTGAATTGCTTACTTTGAGGGAAGCCTGATTATTACATTCACACATTACAGTTCCTTTGAGTTTCCTGTAGGTGTCGTACACTTTTCTGTTGAGTACACCCATGTAACTGTTTTGCTCGTTTCTGTGCGTGAACACTCCCCACTCCCTAGAAAAAGGGCATTTCATGTATCATTCCATATTGGACATGGCTTGAAACAATTCCAAATTGCAGAGATGAAAGAGACAAATGTTAAGATCATACTTCTTCTCATCCATGATGGTGACCGTTGTAGGTGACACAGTTGAATAAGAAGAAGTGAAAGTTGTTGAAGAAATGTCAAACCCCATTTCTTTCAACAATTCGTTGGGTGCAAAGGCAGGAGTCGTCTGTAATTGCGGAAGAGTTGATGGCGGCGGCATATTTTCTTTCTTTTTATTTTTTTGTGCTTTTTTTTTTTCACTTCCACTGCTGCTGACATTACCGTTTGGTATGGTGTCTACCATTTTTTGTAAAGAGTTGATGGGTGAATAATCTTGCATGTTAGTGGCCATGATGATTAAAAAAGGAAGAAAATAAAAAATGTTATTTCTTTTATGGTGTTTTTTCGTTGACGTCACCATCGATTTCATCCAGTCCACCCATGAAACTTTCGTCAGGTGTGATTCTCATCCAATCGAATATGATGTCAATATCTTGATGGGTGAATCCTAGACATTCGTAAGAAAATGCCAATTCTTCTGTTTTGAATGACAGCAATTCCTCCAATAGCAATCTGCCGCTGCTATTTCCAGAGATCATGGTTTTGACAAATTCCATGTCTTCATGATTCCAAATAGGATGATACACACCTCTTTCTCTGAGGATTTTGACCCATTCGTCATTCGCCATTTCATCGACATATTATAATCTTTGCATGGAAAAAAAGGGATGAATGTATGGTTCGAGTCCTTTCTTTTTATGAATGGTTTTCAAGATAGCTATTACCCAGCATCTCTTCCAATGATGATTGGATACTTGTTCTTTGAAAAATTGACGTTTCCGTTTAAAGAAATCGGTTTGGGTGGCTACAGTATTGACGTTCATTATTTCAGGATAACACATGGAAAAGAATGAGAATTTTGTGTTTTCGATTTATATAAATAGCTCTGCTATGGTTTTCATTGGTCAGATTAGGAGATGGAACGGATAGGGAAAGAGTGGTTATGGCGACGTATTTATCAAAACGAATTGAATGGTCGAGATTCGCTTGTTCCTCGAGAAGAATAGGAAAAGGTGAAAACCAAAGAAAACGCGGATGAATTATTTGATTATTTGATCAATGACCCTGACCCTGAGAGAGAATAGAATTTTGGTGTATTCATTGTACATATGGAGGGAATGAGAGAACAGTTGAGATGAAGAGATTTCGAACAACATAAATAATGGGTATTTAATACCCATCCTGATAAAGTACCATCATTCAAGGAGTTAATGAGAGTCGCTTTAATCATATTTGTGAGATGCTGCACTAAAGTTTTACTGTGAGAAAAAAGTCATGGTGGCAAGCAGGAGAAAGGAAAAAAGGTTGGATAAGGAAAAGAAACTAGAACAAATGGTATTGAAGACCTATTATGACTTTTCTAATCGGGGTAGTTATGGTGGATTGGAAAGGTTACACAAAGCTACAGGTGTACCTGTCAAAAAACTTAAGGGTATTACCCGAAAGAATTTAATATACTTTTTGCATAAACCAGTACAAAGACGTTATACAACAAATCCAACGGTAGCTAACAGTATACATCATCAATGGACAGCCGATTTAGCAGATATGAAAAATTTAAGTAGATACAACAAGGGGATAAAATATCTCTTAACGGTTGTAGATGTTTTAAGTAAATACGCCTGGGTGGTTCCTATGAAGGACAAAACCGGCGCAGAGCAAAAACGTGCTTTTGAGTCTATTTTAAAAAAGGGTAGAAAACCGTTACGTCTACAAACAGATAAGGGAAGTGAATTTTACAACAAACCGTTTCAAGAATATTTCAAACAGAAAAAGATCACTCATTTTAATACTCAAAGCGATACAAAAGCTTCTGTGGTAGAAAGATTTAACAAAACGGGTGTAGCACCTACGGGTGTAGCACCTAAAAATGTCACCATGTATAACGATGTAAAAATATGGAAGAAATTGTATAGTAAGAAATTATTCGGTGTACCCAGTAAAAATTAAAAAAAGCCAAGATTGAAGGTGGGAGATAAAGTCATGTTGAGTAAGGTTCGTAGAAACCTTTAAAAAGGGGTATTTACCGGGATGGACAGAGGAAATGTTCATCGTAGATAGAGTATTAAATACCTATGTACCATCTTACAAGATCAAAGAATACGATGAAACAGGTCAGC